GTAAGTATTAATTTGTATTATTGATGCTTCCGCTAAACATGTTTGCAATAATGGCGTACAACCCGATATTTCCCCGCTGCTCCTGGCACTTCGATAGAATTTAAGCTGGCGACAAGACTACGCTGAAAGTCACAGTGCCGTCTTGACCTGATATTGAGGTGTCGTATGCCTTGGCGTCAGGGTCTGTTTATTGTTTTTGTTGTACCCTGACAGTAAGCGTGTTTAATAGGCTTATAATGCATGCACGCGCGAGGGTCACCCGTTACATTGACCACGTGCATGAGTAGGAAGTGTTCGAGCGTATTATTGTAATTGCGCAAATTTAATTGGCCTTCTATATTATGATGGTTCACGGTTCACCTAGATCGGTTGTGAAACAACTTCCCTGTTTCCCATATCATTTTATCTGAGTGTCATTGCAGGAAAGTTCTTCAGATTGGAGATACTTGTGTAACGTTCATGCCAACATGTTAGGGTGGGGTTTGTTTATTTTTAGGGTATACGTCAACAAAAAAAGATTGTCTCGTTAAATTTTCAAGTTTGCAACCAATGGCATAAACTTATCAATCAGACCCTAGCATTTTCATGATACACTCCTTGATAATAGGCGAACACATATATCTGTCTGCTAAAGTCAATTCAACTACATTTCATGCATGGCTGAATGTTATGTGAAAATGTATGCAGTGCTTGTTAATGGTATTATTATGTTGTATGTCGTGTAGTGTAGCAGAGGTTTTTATACATAGAAAGGTACTTAAAATGATGCAATATTTTAATAATAACTCACATAAACTACTAGTCATTGAAAAAAAATACACATGCACTGCCCATGTATGTACATGTATAATTTATTGGACTCCATGTAGACATTGTTGGAATGTGACAGTGTTTCACACTGACACAATAGAAAAGAACTTGATACTAAAGACAGCCTACAATGTTTAAGGTATTATGTGGTGCATCAAGGACCATATGTTGTTATATCATATTTGAAGTGGACAAATTGGACACTCTTTGACAGTAATATTTTGTGTGGACATACCTTGGTACTGTATCCATATAAAACGATTACTAGACAAACTGAGAACACTTTTCCATCAAGTTATACATAACAATTATAAAGCTGCTGCTCATAGCTATTTATAACCATGGAGATGACGGATTTATGACAATTTCACACTTAGCTATTGATCATAAAACTGGACATTTTCATTTTAGCTATTTGACCGTAGTCCTTGACAATTTCACATTAGTTATTGACTATAGAGCACGACATTTTCACTTCAGCTATTGATCATAGAACATGACATTTTCACTTCAGCTATTGATCATAGAACATGACATTTTCACTTCAGCTATTGATCACAGAACATGACATTTTCACTTACTTATAGACCATGCTACATTTTCACTTCAGCTATTGATGATAGAACATGACATTTTAACTTCAGCTATTGACATTTTCATTCTACTTATAGACCATGGCGCATGACATTTTCACTTCAGCTATTGATCATAGAACATGACATTTTCACTTCAGCTATTGATCACAGAACATGACATTTTCACTTCAGTTATTGATCACAGAACATGACATTTTCATTCTACTTATAGACCATGGCGCATGACATTTTCACTTCAGCTATTGATGATAGAACATGACATTTTAACTTCAGCTATTGATGATAGAACATGACATTTTCACTTCAGCTATTGATCATAGAACATAACATTTTCATTCTACTTATTGACCATGGCGCATGACATTTTAACTTCAGCTATTGATGATAGAAGATGACATTTTCACTTCAGCTATTGATCATAGAACATGACATTTTCACTTCAGCTATTGATGATAGAACATGACATTTTCACTTCAGCTATTGATCATAGAACATGACATTTTCATTCTACTTATTGACCATGGCGCATGACAGTTTCACTTCAGCTATTGACCATGTAGCATAATATTTTCAATCTAAGTATTTACCATTGAAGTAACATTTTCACCATATCTACCCTACATGTAAAATACTGCAAGAATCTCCAGTGTTCAATAGATTTTGATGATGTCCTTGCCCTATAGGTGCAAGAGCTGTCTGTAGATTCTGATGACATCCCAACCCTTTAGGTACTAGTACTGTTGGTAGATTCTGAAGACGTGCCTACCCTCTAGGTACTAGTACTGTGGGTAGATTCTGACAACGTCCTTGCCCTTTAGGTTCTAGTACTGTTGGTAGATTCTGATGACGTGCCTACCCTTTAGGTACTTGTACTGTTGGTAAATTCTGATGATGTCCCTACCCTTTAGGTACTAGTAATGTGGGTAGATTCAGACGACGTTCCTACCCTTTAGGTACTAGTTCTGTGGGTAGATTCTGATGACGTGCCTACCCTTTAGGTACTAGTTCTGTTGGTATATTCTGACGACGTCCCTACCCTTTAGGTACTAGTTCTGTTGGTAGATTCTGACGACGTGCCTATCCTTTAGGTACTTGTACTGTGGGTAGATTCTGAAGACGTCCCTACCCTTTAGATACTAGTATTGTGGGCAGATTCTGATGACGTTCCTACCCTTTAGGTACTAGTACTATGGGTAGATTCTGAAGACGTCCCTACCCTTTAGGTACTAGTATTGTGGGCAGATTCTGACAACGTTCCTACTCTTTAGGTACTAGTGCTGTTGGTAGATTCTGACGACGTCCCTACCCTTTAGGCACTGGTACTGTGGGTAGATTCTGAAGACGTCCCTACCCTTTAGGTACTAGTACTGTGGGTAGATTCTGATAATGTCATTTCCGTAAAGGTACATATAAAACAAGTACTTTGAATGTTTGCAAATTCAAATGACATTTTCTCCCCATTTTAATATTACAGGCCCTTAGCAGTCCTTTAGCAGCCCCTTGATTTTGGAAAAAAATTGTACATTTTATTTTTGTAAAACATTGCTATGGAATTTTTTCCTCCATAGCCTGGATATTTAACTTTATAAAATGCCTAGAATTGCTCATCATATAACTGCTCCTGGTTGGTTTTCGAGAGACTTGTGATTAAAGCATCGATATTTAATATTCACCTTCAAACAAGAACCATCTTAATAGAATGAGGAAATAGAATTTGAAATAAAAAACAAAACAGCCTATTCAGATGCCAGAGCAAACGTTTGCTGTGGTAACTACTGTGACTATTGATTTTAAAATTAAAAGTGTGACTCTGTTATTTCCAATAAAAATGGAAATGAGAATTAGTGAAATCTTGAATCGGAATTGTGGAGAAAATTTTATTGTAATGTAATAAAATTAGGATTTGTTATCCAGATGGATTATAGAATGTAAAGATTACTCGTAAATCAAATAGATTAATTTTTTTGTTGAACTATCTTAAATCCTTATCAGAAAATGATTAAATATTGATTATCCTTAAAATAATGCATTGAAATTTATCGGATTTTGTTAAAAAAGTAAAACTTGTTTTTAGTGGTTACTGTTTTTCTGTAGAGAGTCAACCAATCAGCCGCTCTATAAACACTAGCCAGTAACTACATTTCACACCCAGACTTTGACTATGTAAGTTTTATCCACATGTAGTTTTTTTCCCAATAGTGAAGAAAAGTCATCAACAATCCATCATTTACAAATTATCTTTAAGATTTTTTTTGGTGCAGCAGTTCTGGATCACTTTAAAGCTGTGCGCTTTTTCATTTTTGGTATAACTTAGTTTTTCATTAAGTTGTTCAACTGTTATTCCAATCAAAATATAGTTACATTGTAGAATAGACAATTTAACACACCAAATGGATTACATGAATTTTCTTTTTTTGTGTGTGCATTTTTGGGACAATAATATAAAAAAGATTTTTGAGGAATGACTTGAAAGTCTTTATGGCTTGCTCTATTCACTACAAACTGATAAGTTTGTAGTCATGTTGAAACAAATGCTGTGATATATATCAAGCAAACAAGGTTTTTTTATTTCATATATTACCATGTATCAGTTTGCAAACATGCCAACAACGTTAACACATCTATGGTGTTTATATGCTATTTATTTCAATTGACTTGGAAATTTGGGTTACATTTTTTTAGTTGGTGGTAAGGGGGGGCACTGATGGGGGATGGGCACTGATGGGTGGTGGTGGGGGGGGTGGGTGCGCTGATGGGGGTTGGGGGCACTGATAGGGGATGGAGAGAGACTTAAACTTTTTAGTGTATTTTGCATTTTGTTTAAAAAACGACCATACTAACAAAGCAGGACAAGTGAGACATCTAACTACGCATAATAATTTATTTATATTCAGTTGAACTTCCTAACTTGTAATATTTTTATGCTACATAAGCAATCACAATTGGTTTGACCAAGAACAGTATACATAAAATACAGTCAGATTGCTTTATAAAGTTAGTTTTTTGCCATGTTTTACAGCCAAAACAAGGCTGCTTCTTCTAGCTAAAACATGCATTTTAGGTTACTTTCCCAAAATGCAGAGAAATTCTTTAATTACCTTCTCGGTTACATGTAACAAAAATTGCTGTTACGTAGAAAGAATGGACATTAATTTTGTTCAATTTATGTCGGCACAGACTGCTGTAAAATGTGAATAGAAAAAAATCCTGTTATCTTCATAAAGCACCCAAATTATGTCTTGATATTATATTGAAAAATTAATTTGCAATAAGAATTAATTTGTTAAACACAGTTTTGCCATTATTTTCATCTAATTTTGTAGTATTACATGTTCCTGAAAGCATTTAAAAGTAAAGATGATAATCACAATGTTGTACAGGAGTTTACAGGCACCCCTTATGTACTAGTGACTGTCAAATGGTTCTCTCCTGGATTTCAAATTAATGCTGCTAATTAAGACTCAGTCTTAGAATTGACAGACAAATGATAAGAAGTAGAGTTATGTTTTCAGTCTCAGAAGAGCATGTTGTGATGAGTTTGTCAAGTTGGGATTCACAGAGAATCTGATTAAAGATTGTTGTAAAATATTTACT